CTGGACTGATGAAGTACGGTAGCTGTAGGTGTTGGTTGAACAGTGGACATTTGCTTTTTTTTAGAAGCGTGGGCAGTACTTTGGGAATCGCAAGAGCTGAGCATCCTTAGACATGATTTTGCCTGATCGCCAGTGCTGAGTTGAGTATTAATGATCGAATTGTAAGATATCTTACTTTTGGCTACCGAACTAGGTACATGATTTACCTTTGTGGACTCTCGAGATGGGGGGGGGGATTATAAATCGGATACTCGTCATCAATTCATGGTTGTACGCCGTCAGTGAGATAAAGTGTTTCCAGCATCGTTCCCCTAGTCAACTACCAGATGCTCATTGATGTTGCCCATTGGCATCTTTAATGGCACGGCCAATCAGTTGGACGAGGATCCAACCCACAAAAGAGACCTACCACGCTGGAGGCTCGTAATCACAGACTAGGCTTGAATGTTGAACAAAGACTATGAGATGATAACTCGACTATGCACAGTATTCGACCGATGGTATCCCTGTTTAGAAGTCAGCTACTGATGCGCCAGCCACTTCCTCAAGAACAACTTCATAGTGGCAAATCTCTGGCACATATCCTCTTCGAACTTTCCTTCACAAGCACAGCCATGTTCTTTCAATTGCTAATTGAAAATCACTGGCTCTTCTGGGTAGCTTGCATTCCTCAATTCATCATGCGTATGATAACCATCGAATCATGATCTCAGAGTATTGTCACCAAGGATACCGTCTCTTTCATCTGCCACTGTAGACCTATCAGGAGCATAACACAACATGATGGCAGGTGAGAATGCCTCATGTAGGCTAGATAAATATTATAACTTTGTTCCCCGTCCTCAAGAGTAGATAGTACATCATGGTTGCCCCATGCAGGGGCTCGCTAGTCTCTATGCGTCGTCGCTACACGCTGCTTCGTAAGGAATCTTGAAGAAACTAAGTGCGAAGCCGCTGTTCTTTGCTAGCGGACACTACTTCGAACTTCAAATCAACGATTTGTGGTGAACTTGTTTTCATGAACAACGCATGGCCTACCTGAAGAGAAGTCTCATCATGTTGTCGCCTCCTCGCAAACTTCCAACATGCCTTCCATTTGAGACGGCGTGGTCAGCGCCTCGATCGCTATGGACTCACAAGTGGAAGTCGTAGATAGATAGCTATAAGCGCAATGCTGCTATGTGAGGACTCGAAAGATTGTTCATCTAGAGAGATCGCAAGATGATAGCCGAAGAAAGAGACGGGGGGGCTAGAGAACTAAAGGTCTTTGCAAATACTGGACACATCCCCTCGAAGTAAGAGAAACCTGTCAGTACGAGAGGTGTTAATACTCATGCGCTGCTCTGGATCTAGCCACTCATATCCAATGACATCCAAAATTCGCCAGACAACTTTGGCAAGGAGTTTGTTTCCCTAAACAAGAAGATGATTCCTGAGAGCGATCAGGTAGAAACGTTTTGCGTCAGCTCATCTGCTCCCTTCATTCCGGGCACTATTCGAGGACTGTCTGACTACTATGGGGTCCGTGGAAGTGCTCCTCCAGCCTCCCCCTTTTCGAGAGAAGAAGACATTTCGGGAAGCGGCAATGAGATCGTCGCCGACGAGATCTCGTTTACTGAGATAGCCAATTGTCGGGCACGCATGTCAAGTCTCTTCCAAGTTCCAGCCATGAGAGGTTGGGCCAGTCACCCATCACAACTGAGCTCGACCGCCTTTCGATACAAGGGGCCGCGTAATCCACAGTATCTCGGTTCTTGGCAGCAGATTGCGCTCAACCTGAAAGCGTTCGCACTAGCCAGCAAAGGCATTCAGAACGTGGTGCAGCCTTGTGAACACGGCAACGATTCCGTTCATTCCCCGCGTGCCACGAGAGCCCCTTTCCAAATGTGTTAGTCTGATCTGGATGGCGATTGTCGATCATCAGATGTAGTGTTCGGAATGCCTGCACAGATGGGGCTCCTGCCGAGTTGTACAGAGATGCCGGGATATCGAGTCTGTGGGTACTCCGTACAGTACTAACCCAGGGCCCTGAGACCTGCGTATCTTGTGCCGGCGAATCCTCTGAAAAGCTTTAAGAAACTTGAGAATGCAACGCCAGTGGTAGGGCGGTGCTTAAATTAGAAACATAGATCCAGATGACAGCCAGGCTTAGCCATAGGTAGGGGTCCAATTGCCGGACTACGGCATTTTGGATAGTGCCCTACACTACGACTGCACCACCTGCCTGGCCATGGAATCTGGAGTCGAGGCCATCATTGGCCATGGAGCTGGCAATGGAATGCAAAAGCTCGGTTGTGAATGCCGGATAGTGCGGACAGAAGTGTGTTGGCGATGCCGTAAACGGTGAGGTGGGTCAGGAGGGTCGGCCGTCGGAGCCGATCACGGCACGGAAGCAAGGTGCTGGGCGGGGCCGTGTCTACCGGTCGGTTGCCCCCCTGCTCATTGAGTGAAATATTCCTCCCCGCCAAGAATCAAATAAGATGGGGGCCGTTTGGTGAGTGAGGTACTAATTTGCATGTGGGGGCCAGCAGGGGGATGCGAGTCTATCACAATCAAGCACTTCTGCTAGACAGGACCCATTCACCCGGCCGAAATACGAAATGCTGGGCCGCTGGCAAGTGTAATCTTTCGACCCCATCGTGAAGAGCCAGTCACGGGGACAGCAGTGATGGGGCGTCAAGGTGGTTGACTTCTGGCGGAGTACCACTTGCAAGAGGATTTCCTTCGTGTTCAACGGCTACAACGGCACGCGGGACACCCGCTTTTCCCATGCCATGCCGTGACATGCGATGCACTGCCCGCAGCCGCCGTAGTCTCGTGCCTTGCAGGTGGTAGGGCGCTACTGATGACACTAGTCGATGGGGGTAGAAGGGAGGCAAACGAAAAAGGCGATTTGTGTTCCTGGATCTCGTATGGTAGCACGAACTTTCGGCACAGAGCATAGGCACGGTGGCTTGTGAAGGACAGGCGATGGGAAACCATTTACGCATCGGCGAGGCTTCGTCATCTCCACCAACATAGCCTAGAAAGCCAGCCGCAAGAAACCTAAACCCAAAATTCCGTTCGGCGGTTGGACCAGTCGCCAGGCCAGCCAGATCGGGAGGTTGTCGGGTTCACGTGGTTGGTAGTGCGTCGAACAAAGAAGCAAGTTGGGTGCTGACCAAAGGCAAAATCGTCTCAAAACGACCGTCTCTGGAATCCCGAGTGCGTTCTTTGGGAAAGAGAGTTACAGAGACAGCGGTTTGCCCGAGCGTTGAGGCGGTTTTGGTTCGCAACAAAGGCGGATGTACCAGGCGGACCCTGGAAAAGTAGCGTAGAGATGACACCATGCTGAGGTGAAAACATCGGATATGTTCAGTGGTGGAAGGGGAGAAGAATGCGAAAGTTCAGAATTGGCCGTCGTTCGTTCTGTCAATCAATCCACTTCGCCCGCTCTCCGTGTCTCAGAGTCTCCTGTTGGCTAGTCTGGCGCATTGTCCTGGGAAAGCTTGAACATGGTGTCTCACACGGTTTCGAAGGGGACTGTCTCTTCCGGGAGTTGTCTTTCTGAATGATGACGTTGAAAGCAGACTCGGACCTGCCACTGAATTCCGACTGAAAACAACATCAGCGTATTCGAACACCAGCAGACATTGAAAGACAGTGGTGCCTCTCGGGCGCATGTCGTCTGTTCGGAAGAGGAAGGCCCAAGAGATGGAGCCCTGCAGCATGGGAATGGACCCCGGCGGCCCTGCAGATAAACGAGCCCGATGACCAACAAGGAGATTAGTTTAGACTAGGAAAGTAACGAGAAGCCAAGCTTTAGCACCTGCAGAGGTAAGAAAGTGGGCGACTAGTCAGCGCCCCTCGCTCTCGTCCACTGATGTCCTCGTTGCGGATTGCCCTCGTCTGTTCACCCTACGCCCGCATCAGCAAGTTGTCCGGGCCATCCCATACTCTTCTCTTTCTTTCGCTTCTCTCGCGTTTGGGACTTTTGACTGTGGAGGGGAGGAGAACAGAAAGAGAGGGCCCCTCCCGTCTCTGACGTCCCCCAGCCCTGTAGGTGTGTGAGAGAAGGGCCTTGCTTCAGGAATTGAGATGCCGAGAGGCTGTGTGTGTGTGAGCTCGCGCGCGAGTTGGGAGTTTGTATGACGGGTGGCTGGACAATCAACGGAAAGAAAGGCAAATAGTAGAGCAGACTCTAGGCAAAGTCGCGAGCTAATGACGGCGATCTGTCGAGAAGTATGGTTGTAAAGATAGGACCGTTGGTCTGGAAAAGTCGACGACGGGGGCTAAGGCCGCCTGCGAGACGGAAACCAATTCGATTTGTTTTTGACTCGCAACAGGGGGCGCAGAGGCAAAGGAGACAATGAATAGGCTGGACAGGTGAGCAGAGATGAGACGGTGATGTGTGAGCAAGGTCCGAGAGGGAAAAAGTCGCCGCAGTTTGGGTTGGGCGCAGGCGAGGGAGTGCCGGGGAACTCGAGATGGGACTGACGGACATGTCCTTGTTGACGTTGTTCTTTCCTTTTCTTTCCCTGCGGCGGTACCTGTTGAAGTATTCTTCTTTACCGTTCTTGCCGTAAAGTAAACCCAGGTCAAGGTATCACTGTTAAGAGAAGAAGGTAGGAAAGGTACTTGGAGTCTTGGAGAGCGTGGGATGCCCGGTGTAGCGGTGCTGGAGATGATTGTGTGACGCTAGGCCGAGATGAGACAAAAACAGTGAGCATCGTATCCAGCAGGCGGGAGCCAAGGTGCCTTCTTTCCATTTTTAATTTACATGTCACGACTTCCCTCGCTGTGTCAAGTCTCGCCGTGCTCCTCCTTCTTATTACTCTTACTTGCCTCCTCTTAGCCCAGAGTCTGTCGCACCTGAGTCTCGTTTCTCTTTTCTTTCTACGAATCCGACTGACCTCTCACCGTTTGCAGTCTGCAACACTCGCTCGACAGAGTCGTGCCTGGTCGTCTGTGTATAAGCAAAATAAGCACCGTACATCCCGGCTGGCGGCATCTCTCTCTCTCTCTCTCTCTCTCTCTCTCTCAAAACACCCTCCTCCAACCACTTCACCTCGTACTCTTTCGTTTCTCGTCACTCTCTCAAACACACATCCACAAATTCCCAGAAGAATTGTTTCCTTTTTGGACCCTGTTTAGTGTCTCAATTCTCTTTTCTTGCCTTGGCTCACAAACAAATACCCACATTCATCTTCTCAACGCTCTCTTGGATTTCGTTCCACCTTTTAGACTGAGAGGCACGACCAAACGAAGAATAACGACATCACCAAATACTTCTACGACTACACGTCTAATACTCCACGACCACCAACCCAACACTACCTCGAGATAATCCTGCCGATACTGCAGCCATGCTTGTGAGTTTCAGTCCCTTTCTTCTTCCATCCTTCTTTCACGGCCCTTCCATTGGATCGTTTGGCCCAGCCGACCGGTCCAACCGTTGCAGCATTCCCTCGCGGCGTCGATCAGGGCGCAAAAGACAAGCCAAGATCCTGTTGGTTCATGTGGAGAGACATCCCCATGGGCCATCGTCGGAATCCTGCACATTGGCGACGCCACATTCTGTCGATCCCCCTCCCCCTCATGTTCCTGCTCTCTCTCCCTCCTCCAAGACATGCTGCAGCACCAACATCGCCTTGTATCTTTAATCTAATTTGGCGCCAATCTGTAGGTCCAAACTGCTCTCGTCGCATTGAGTGCGACACTGGCTGCCGCTGTCAAGCCCCTCACTGTCAAGGGCAATGCCTTCGTTACCGAGGGCGGCGAAAAGTTCCAGATCGTTGGTGTCGACTACCAGATTGGTGGCAGCGCCGGCTACGACCCTTCCCACGGTCGCGACCCCCTCAGCGATGGTGACATTTGCTTGCGCGATGCTGCCCTGCTCCAGCGTCTCGGCGCCAACGCCATCCGTATTTACAACCTCGACCCCAACCTGAACCATGATGCTTGCGCTTCCGTCTTTAACGCAGCTGGCATATACATGATTCTCGACGTCAACTCTCCCCTCGTCGGCGAGAGTATCACGAGCTTCGAGCCCTGGACCAGCTACTACGCTGCTTACCTCAACCGCACCTTCGCCATCGTCGAGGCTTTCAAGAGCTACCCCAACACCCTCGCCTTCTTCTCCGGTAACGAGGTCATGAATAACGTTGCGACCGCCGAGTTTGTTCCCCAGTACCTCCGCGCCGTCACTCGTGACTTGAAGAACTACATCGCCAAGCACTCCGACCGCGCCATCCCCGTCGGTTACTCCGCTGCCGACGTTCGCGAGATCCTCGTCGACTCCTGGAACTACCTGCAGTGTGCTGAGAACGGAGACGCCAAGGACCCCAGCCGCATCGACCTCTTCGGCCTCAACTCCTACTCGTGGTGCGGTGATTCTAGCTTCAAAACCTCCACCTACGACCAGCTCGTCTCCAGTCTGAAGGACACCTCTGTCCCCGTCTTCTTCTCCGAGTTTGGCTGCAACCAGGTCACCCCTCGCCCCTTTACTGAGATTGGCTCAATCTACGGCACAGACATGAACTCCGTCTTCTCCGGAGGTCTCGTCTACGAGTACAGCCAGGAGGACAACAACTATGGCCTCGTCAAGGTCAACGACGATAAGTCCGTCAAGCTGCTCATTGACTACCAGAACCTTGCCACCCAGTACAAGAAGGTCGACTTCAAGACCCTGCAGGCCACCAAGGCTCCTTCCTCCTCCCCCGACCCTCCCAAGTGCGCCTCGTCCCTGATCAAGGAGAAGGGATTTAACAACAACTTCACCCTGCCGGCCGTGCCCCCTGGTGGCCAGGACATGATCGACAACGGTATCAAGAACAAGCCCTCTGGCAAGATCATCTCCATCTCCGACTGGACCGTCAAGCACAAGGTCTACGACGTTGATGGAAAGACGGAGATCACTGGCCTCGCCGTCTCTCCCCTCGCGGACTCCGATTCTAACACACCCGGCACCAACACTGGCGGTACCACTGTTCCTGCTGCCACCGGCACCTCCACCCCGACTGGCACTTCCACCCCTTCGTCGAGCACTACCCCCAACGCCGGCATCGCAATGCGCCCTGAGGTTGCCGCTTTTGCTGCACCTCTACTTGCTCTTTTGTTCTTGTAAAAGCTCTGGAAGCGTACGCTGGATGTTGTGTGTGGTTTATTAGTACGGTTTGGAGGTAATGACTTGGTTTCTTTCTGGCATCATAGATTCCCCGCGGTTTGTGTATAGACCTCAATTGATACTCGTTCAAGACTTGAGTCCTGGCGCCTCGTGAGTTATGAGCTCTTCGCTTTCTTGCAAGCTTAAGCATTAACATCCACGTAATTTGAGATTGGTGACGGTAACACGGTTATGCATGTTACGATACCTTTTGAGAGATGCTTTACGACGTCTTGATGTGAGATTCAACCTTTCTGGCAGCCTCTTCGATGCTATCTAACCCAGGGACCAACCTCTCTGTCTACTTCGAACATTCGCTCGAGCTGGGCCGTCATTGCCGTGTTGGCCGGCGTTCAAGAGCTGGGACTGATCCGAAAGTTGGGCTGCTACATGTGCCTAAGCGTTGGTGTTGAACTTTTACTCCAAATGTGCCCTAAATTTCAGCTTTCGCTCAGCATGCCACTCCTAGACATAGATCTGATTAGCATCGCAAAGACTGAGAGAGAAGGTATTGGAGGTAAGGGAAGATCAAAGTTTTTAAGTAAATAAGGTACTCACGGGAAATACCTGGCTGACGTTGAAACAGCTGCCTGTTCTGAGGGCTCTGGAGTCGTTTGGTTCTGACCAGGACCTGACCGTGACCGTGATCGAGAGACGGAGGGCATCGATCGGTACAGGCCTGAAGACTCATGGCAGAGGAGTGTATAGGATAGAGAGAAAGAAGAGAGGCTGAACCCCCTTGACTGTATTCGCTTTCGTTACGTTCGTTTAGTGCCCCGAACGTATTCGTGAATGTAAGATAAGAGTGAGATTACGAGGGGTTATTATGAAAAGGGGTATTATAAAATTAAAATAAAAAAAAGGTGTAAAGATAACATCACCAGTTCTCTTTGCTCCGTCATGCCTTCTTATTACCCCAAACGTCTTCGTTGACGAAGGGCTAGAGTAAAAGGACGGGTAACTAGTAATAAAGAACCGTAATATCTACTCACTACTTCCAAGATAGATAACATAGGTTGTTTAATGAACGCGGTTCATAATGGCTAGTATACTAAGCAAAGAAGCCGAAGTAATCCGATCGATCTTTTGATACCCGATCGTGTTTTTATTAATCTTCCCGAGTAAGAGCGACAAAAGCCCCTAATAACTAGGACGTTATCTCATCTTTATGGACTACCTTGGCCCCCAAGATGATGTTCGAACTAGAGGCCCTTCAAGCTAATTGTACTGGGACTTGCCATTGCCAATCTCCCCGAGGAAGAGCAACAGAGCTCTCTCTATATGCAATGCACATACCAGAGCATATCTTGATTTTATATCCTACCGTAAATCCCAAGGTACCATCAGGTCAGAAAACCGCCTCGATCCCATTCCTTTAGAAGGCTCGCTGCCACCCCCTTCCCTGATGAAGGACAATGAAAAACACTAAGCACAAAACACTCATTTCATCCTAAACTAGAACATTTCTTACCTTGATACACTACCATAGAGCCAATGCAATTCTTAATCGAGGAGCCCACCCCGTAGATTCTATATTTTAGTATTTCCTTATAAAGCTAGGGGGTTTCACGATACTAAAGCACCGCCTACTTAAAAGGCTTAAAGAAAAAACTCGGTAGCCGAGAGAGCGTGAAAGCCAAAAGAAATAAAGAAATTATCCATAGTATAATACGCTTTCTTTACTTCCCTAACGATAAATCCCGAGTTTCTTAAATACTCTCAATGCCTCCCACGTCTTCCCCTATTCATGCTCCACCTCGGACGTATTCTAAAGTGAGTACAAAAACGCAAGGGGACGGAGCGTGGTACCCAGATATATAAAGGACATATATATACGATGATAAGCAAGACTATACAAATCGGGGCTTCCAAAGGAGAACTTACCATCACCCCACAAAACGGAATAAGACTACGATGCCGTTTCCCATCGAGGAAGACCGTATAACTTTATCAATAGCTCAAGAACGTAGTACATACATACCCTACTACTTATATATCGGGGACAAGCTAGATTATTTCTCTCCTTTTATTTGACAAGTACGGACAGTCGGCCAAGTTGAACTGAGATTGACGACCGAAAACACACAAACATGGACATACAAACAAAAAGCAGATCCTCCGGCAAGAATAACATAACGGAACTTCAACAACCACAGACATGGACATCACTCTTCAGTCACAGCAGTATTGAACCAAGAAACAAGCATTGAACCTCCAGTCAAGATCACATTACAGAGCGTCTAATTATTTGCCCATCTGATCGTCGACCATGCCCTCCATACATACGATACAAGGACCCGGCCCTCGACCTTCCCGTCAAGAGCATTTGTTGCACCAGCCGTCATAAACACCGTAAACTTGCAAGCGTACAAGAAAGTGGGCAAGATGCCAATTCTCTCTCAAGTACCAGGCAAAAACTTTCCTTTCGTCTAAACCCATGATGATACCTGAACTATGGCTCTCCCAAGTCCACTCCCCCAAACACACATATTTCATTTCATTTATACCGTTTAAGCCTTGAACTCCTCAACACCGCTGGCCTCCCATCTGCCGGGGACGAGGGCCAAGGGCACGATACCGGAGACGTGCATCTCGGGGCCGAAGATCTTGGCGTTCAGGCCAAGTTCTTGAGTGGCAGCCTTCATGTTCTTGAGACCCTCCTGGTAGTTGGGGCCGGCACGACGGACCCAGATCTGGCACTTGTGCTCGTTGAGCTGCTTGGCGTAGTCGCGGAGGGCGCGGATGACACCCTTGAATGTGCTGGCGACGTTGGTGAAGTTGGCAATACCACCACCGATGAAGAGGACCTTGCCCTCCTCGGTCAGGGGAGCGCGGAGCATGAGGTCGAGGACGGTGCGAGCGTAGTGGTAGGTCTGAGACTCGGTGGGAGCACCAGAGTACTCACCGTAGTTGGCGAGCTCGTCGGCGAAGCCGGAAGAGGCAATGGCATCGGCGTAGACGACGGAAGCACCACCACCAGCGACAAGAGTCCAGATACGTCCGTTGGGGTTGAGGACGGTAAGCTTGAGGGAGGCACCGGTCTTGGCGTCAAGGTCGGCGATGTAGGCCTCCTCCTTGGTCAGCTCACGACCGAAGGGAGCGGGGAACTCCATCGGCGGGCCGGCATCGATGTTGACCTTCTCGCCGTTGGCGGCGGCAACGTTGGTCAGGCCGAGAGCGGCGGGGGAGCGGGCAATAGCCCACTTGACACCGCACTCGAAGTCGGCAGTCTGGTCGAGCTTGGCAGCAAGATCGAGGAAGTGCACAGAGGCGGAGGTGGCATCCTCGTTGGGGATGACAACGAGGGGGTTGATCTCGAGGTAGGTGAACTGGCACTCGACGTAGACGGCGTACAACCGGGTGATGAAGTCAACCAGCACGTTGTGAACACCCTTGGGGACCTTCTTCAACAGAGCCGCGGCGATCTCGTCGTTGGAAGGGTATTGTGAAAGGTCGACGGGGATCAAGAGCTTCTCAGCCTTGGCGTCAACATCACCGACATCAACACCACCCTCGTGGGTGAAGAGAATCCAGTCGCCCTATCGGAATACATGATTAGCCTCGATAACTTGATATGAGGATTTGACAGATGAGGCATAAGGGCCGCCGTGTGCATATGGGAACTTCTGCAAGAGGCATGGGTGGACGGGGTGGACGGGCCACAGGCCTCGTCTCGTGGCATCCGTTCGTCCGGTTCGGGAGAAAAATTACCGGAAAGGGCAGTCCAGCGGCCGGAATCCACTTATTTGACCCATGGATAGGAAATGCCATAAAGCATGCAAATTCCTTCTCATGGTTGCCAAACAAAGTTCTCTTCCAGTTATTCTCACTTTCAACCGTCGATGAGTTTCACTTTGCAGTGTGTTGTGTGGTGTTTTCACACCCACACGACTCATTGATGGACTGCCCACACCGGCCCCGCCAACGAATTGGAGAAGACGGCCCGCCACGCCACGAACCAACGGCCTCTGCCAAAAAGCAACCGCACGAGCTCGAAAGGACAGGGAATTTGCGACAACTTACATCTCTGACGGACATGATGTTGATGTAGTACTCGGTGTCTTGGGGGTGAGGAACAAAGGGCTCGACGAGGAATTGGCGCAGGACACCAGTGACGGTCTCGACCTTCTGCTCCTTACCAGCACGCTCGGCGATCCAGGCCTTGGCCTCGGGCCAGGTCTTGTTGAGGGCCAGGAGACCGCTCTTGCCACGGCGCTTGATCAATTGATCGGGCTTGGCGACGAACTTGACACCGGGCTGGAGAACCCAGGGGTAGGTGACCTCAGCCTGGTTGAGGACATCCATTACGTCGGCATCCTCAGGGAAGTGCAGAGAGCACAACCTGGGGGGAGGGTTGTGCTTGGTGGGGACGGGAAGAGGAGAGGCCTTGATGACGGGAGCGCGGGTGAGGTGGTAGTTGAGGATGGCCTTGCCGTCGGCCTCGAGGATGGACTTGGCGGACATTGTGGCGGTTTGTGAGGTGAGAAAGAGGTGAGTTTTCTTGAGAGTTCTTTTCTCTGGTTTATTTTGGCCTGAATTGGGAGCGGACTGGTCAGCAATTGCTTTGGGAAACGAAGTGGTATTTGTGTGGCTGTTGGACTCGGAGTCGGAGTTGGAGTTCCACTGCCCGTCAGCAACAGGCTTTCTTTCAGCTGAGCTTCTGGGAGGACCTTCGTGGGCGGCAAGTGTCACCACCGCAGGCGGAAGACTCAAGATGCTCGCGCCGAGCTCTGGAAGAGGGGCATTCGCGACCCAGCTGGAGACTCGGCTGGGATGGGGGGGAAGTCGAGACAACGATGTTGAGCTTTGGAGGGGGAAGACTGGGGCGAGAACATACCGAGAGAGAGAGAGAGAGAGAGAGAGAGAGCAAGTGCAACCAGGCGACGAAGTCGAAGTCTGGGGACGAAGTTTTGGTGAAGACCTGAAATCAAGTGAATGTCAGGAACCGGAGGGTCGAGTCGAAGTCGAGTCAAGCAGAGCGGTGTGAGAGGGAAGAAAGAAGCGGCGAGGTTGAAGGAGAAGTATGGATTGGGGAGTGGGAGGATGGAGTGGAAGGAGAGAAGCTGTGCGTGGAGAGAGAGGGAGAAGATCGTCAGCCTTTCAAAATTTTGGAATCTGTCGAAGCTCCCAGGGATTATTTGTTGCTGGGACTTCGGGGAGAGGAAGGAGAGGAAGAGCGGACGAGGAGGAGGGGTGTGGTGTGGTGGGAGGGGGAGGGGTGAGAAAGAGACGGAAGAGAGAGAGAGAGAGAGAGAGGTAGGTACATCATGGGGCAACGAAGCGCCGCCCAGGTACCGACCGGGATTGTGTACGGGATGTATTCAATGTGTGAGGAGTGTGGTGGTGGTGGTGGTGGTGGTGGCTCGAAAATCGGTGGATTCACCCACCTAGCACCTTGAGGGAGCTAAGGGACCACGCCAAAAAAGTTTTGGGGTGGTGCGCGTTGTGCGTGCAGTGAGGGAAAATGGTGCGTGCATTGGAAGACCTGTGAGAATCTCTCGCAAGCTCCGGGAGAGGGGAAAGAACTGGGGGGAGGGGAAAGTATTTTTGGGGACCGGGTGTATTTTTTGGAGGGGGGTGGGAATTCGAGGTGGCATGGCTTGATGCTTGGGGGGAAGCTCCAGCTGTCCATGCACGCTACCCCTCGATGGCGGTGGCAGAACACACGACACTCGACATATCCGCAAAAAGCAACCACGACCTTGAGAAAAAACGGGTGGGAAAGTGCAAGTGCAGGGAAAGGGTAAGGGGAACGGACAGGCAAGTACCTGTACCTGAGCCTGCCCTACCCTTTTTGACTGTGCTTCATTTTGGACTCACCTCAGAATTGTCGCGTGAGGATTGCGACAAGGTATGCAATAAAGGGATGGAGGGGGGGTTGAGAGGGAAATGCTGGCAGGGAAATTCGACCAAGTTGGACCAAAACAAAAAGTCTGGGGAGGGGGAAAGGTGGAAAAAAAAGAGACAGGCAGTGGTTGTTGAGAGGTTTAAGTGGATCTCTCGTCTCGTACCTTTTGGAAAGTCACTTCTGCTCACTCACTGACAATCTTGCAGATTCCGACGAGTGAAGACTGAAATGAGAGTCTCTGTGAGAGAGGACGGGAAATGGGCACAGAAAACGAACAGCAACAATTATCGATTTTCCCTCCCAGGGTGCGCAAGGGCGGCATTTTTACAGACCACAGTGACACACAGCACACAGCAAGTCTTGGACCACCTTCTCCCGCTCTTTCCCGGATGATGGATCGATGCAACCCCAGCGCCAGAATGTCCGCCGAAAATCGCAGGGACCGCCATTTTTACACCTACCTTACCTCACTGCATTGTTGTGCTCATCAGTATGGACACTGATTTCAACATGGTCCATGGTCCATGGCCCATCAACATGGTGCAGGTGCACGACAGCCGAACGGGAAAGGGGACGGGGCGGAAGACAGACAGACAGACCACTGCTGGATGGAGCTTGGGGACGTTGCCGGTGCGGTGCGAAGCGGTACGGCGCATCATCCTCGTCGCCCAGTCGCTTACACCGGCTCTGGTCTTCCAATGCTTCCAGATGATTCTCCATTCTCGTGGGTTGGGGTTAACCTCCATTACACTACCCAAGGCTTGGAGGGTCTGTTTCTGTTTCTGTCTCTGTCCGTCCCCGTATCCGATCGAGATCAGGATCAGAGCCCTTGCCAAAACGAACCGAGAGAAAGGAAAACCGTTGCTTATCCACCGGCAGCCAGCGGGAGACTGAGAGTCGCGTTTCCAGTACTGCCGATTCGGGGCACTCGAGCGCCGCGGGATGACTTTGATTTTCGGACGTTTCTCATCTCGTGCGTGGGACAACGGACGGTGGCCCGGATGTCAGGTCAGATCCCCCCAAACTCGGTGTCAGTCAGAGTACGGAGCACACAAGCTGGTCCAGGAACCGGGCATTGGCGCCTTAATTAGCCATGGCGCTGGGATTGGCACCTTTGGGACGACCAAGCACAGTCATCAAATCAACCTCGAGTGAGACGTTGGACTGCCTGGTCAGACGGCACATCGACCCCTACTCGTTCCTCGCTCCTACGGCTAGGTAGGTTCGCTCAAGATGGCCTGGCCCTGTCATTTTCAAGAACAAGCCCCCAAGCCATGACAAGAAGCCATTGGCGATGGTCGTGTTCCCGTACGAGTGTGAGTGGGAAGAAGAAGAAGTGAACCACTCCCTATTACTCGCGCATCCGTACACACACTCGGGTATCTTCAAGTGAAAGTGCGCAATGCCCGGTGGTCGGCGGAGTGACGATGGGGAGGACCGAAAACCGGCGGAGGTGGATGCGGCATGCCGGGTTTCGGGGAATGCGAGCATGGGTGCTGAGATGCCCGTTTGGGTCTTTTTTTCTTTCTCTGTCTTTCTCTGGTTGTCCTAGTCGCGAGTCTTTTGAGTGCTTTTTTTTTTCTCATCTCCGTCGCCGTCGCCGGTCTGTTTCGGCCGTGGTTTCTTCGCGGCGCTTCGCAATTACGACTATCGCCGCATTGTTCCGTCTGCAGTGTCCTTGATTTTCGAATCTGGTTTTTCTCTCAAGCGGGTAGCTTGCTGCTGCTTCTTCTTTTCCCTCTTTGGTCGAGTTTGAGTAGGGTACTGTGTAGTGCATCATCCCAAGTGGCCTTGTACCCGTACATACCTGGATGGCTACACAACATCGTCTCTTCCCCATTTCCCTGAGTGCGTACAGAGTACGAAGTACACACTTTCTCACGCACACAAAATCCCACACAGGCTTCGAAATACCTCGATCCCTTGGCTGACGGTAACCACCCTCCAGTCGCATGCAGCGATGGAGGGAATACGGGCAAGGAGGCGAGGCTGTTTTAGTGACCGCCTCGCCCCCACTCAGACAGGCGAGCCTCTCACTGCCCAGTGCCTCTCTACCTGACGGTGTAAGCCCTCTTGTTGGCTGTATATCAAGCGGTGTCTGGATAGGCGTGTGCGTGTATGTGTGTGTGTGACCCAGTCGTGTTCAGATTGATTACATCCCAGAAGACATCCCGGCGGCCAAGTTGGCGAATGTCGATCCTCCCTGACAATCCAGTCCGAGGCCATTGGGCGAGACTCGAAATGCGGTCAAACCAAAGTGTAGGCTGCTGCATTCCCGAAATCCCCTGGTGCGATAAGAGAGAGAGAGAGAGAGAGAGAGAGCTATGGGCGCCTCCCGACTGAGGGATTGTTGCGGTCAAGCGCCAGCGCCAGCCGAACCGACTTGGTCTCAACTTGGACTGGTCGGGGCGGGGAGCTCCCGGAACTTGGAACTTGGGAGAGGAGAGACAAAACCGCCATTCGATATTGACACTGACATTGCGGTGACCGGCGGGCGGACGTCGCCCGTCTCACTTGTCGAGCTCCCTATTTGTCTGTCGGATGATGCATCTTTTGGGTGCGTGTCTGTTCTCTGTTCTACTTGTTTCTGCCCAATGTTTCTGAGCGGTGCGAGTTGCGCCAAACTACCTTAGCAGGGAAGAAGCCGAAGAAGACTGTGAGAGTCAGGGCTTGTGCAGGTACGCAGGCAAGACCGCCAGCCCGTCCGCGGATGGAGCTTGTACCGGTGTCTGGTCTATCCGCAATTGCAGCGTCCGTCTGGGCTCAAGCTCAGGTCCAGCCCAGCGAGTGCAAGACGGCAAGGCAGTCGCGGGCAGGGCAGCTTCCTTGGGGCAGAGAGCATTGGATTTAGGTGAGGTGAGCTCCAATTTTGGCAAGGTGCTTGGCCACTAGCAGCCTAGCATCCCCCAGGTACGGCCTTGCTACCCTGTGCAAGTCTTGTTTTCTGCCCGGTCCATGAGTACGTACTCGGTAAGGTGAGGTCGCTGTGGGGTCCGCCAGAAACAAGCGGGGACCAAGGGCCCTTGCCCGTTTGCCTGGTTGGTGCGTGCCTTGCCCGGTCCCATCGCATCTCCCTTTTTTCGCCTTTTCCCTTCCCTGCCCGCTGGCCAATTCAACACTTCAACAATCCACGAGCCAATCATGTTGTGGAATTGGTCGGGAACTTCCCCAACTCTTTCGGCCGTCGCATGACGGAAGTCTCCATTTTCCCAATACTCATTCCCCATCACCCCTCCATTCCACGCACCACAGTCCAAACCCAAGAAGAAAAAAGTCTCAGGCTTCTCTCAATGGCCCGACTTTGGCTGAGTTGTGTCACTGCGCCGTCAAGCCGTCCCAAGAAATTCACCGGGCCCTGTACCTGACCCGACGCAGTACCGGCCATACTGATCGCCCGTACCTTGCCTTACCTGCCGATGTCAAGACCCCTCCGCAAAGTACCTACCTTACCCTTCACCACAATAGAAGTCCACAACCACCACAAAAGTCACCCCGTAGCTGGTTCACCACTTCTGCCCGCCCATTCTGTTCCTGCCGCTGCAAAGCATTGTTTGGCATTGTTGGAGACCAGCCATTATTGAGATTGGGATTGGACCTTGTCTGTCTGATCTGGAGCTACCTTGATCTGGTCTTGCCTCGATAAGGACGTGTACAGATACGGATACGTTCCTTACCTCAGGTAGGGTAGGTACTCTACGTGGTCGTGTGTGCTTGGGCAAGTGCCAAGTAACTCAGGTACCTCTTTCCCAGGTTGACTTTG